CTCCTCTCCTCTCCTCTTCCTACTCCCAAAGAATATAAGTTTGGTGCTATTTTGTCCTCAGTATTTGATAGAATTCAGCAGTGAAACCATATGGGCCTGAAGTTTGATGGTGAATTCAGGGTCTTTTTTTTTTTTTTTTTTTTTTAATGTTTATGTATTTTTGAGAGAGAAACAGTGTGAGCAGGGGAGTGGCAGAGAGAGAGGGAGACACAGAATCTGAGGCAGGCTCCAGGCTCTGGGCTGTCAGCACAGAGCCCAATGAGGAGCTCAAAGGCACAAACCGTTAGATCATGACCTGAGCTCAAGTCAGCCACCTAGGCACCCCATAATTCAGTTCATAGTTAATTATGGCATTAATGAGAATTTTTTAATCTTTTGTGATCTTTCTCTTCCCCCCCAAAGGGATTTGTCCATTTCATCATCATATTTTAGCTATAATTTTTTTAAATGCTTTTTTTATGACCCTTTCTCTCCCCACCTTTGGAGAGCAGTTACATATGTATTTAACCTTTTGATATTCTCAAAACGGTTCCTGTGGCGCTTTCCTCTTTTATTATAGTTTCCCCCATCCCATCCCCCACTCTTCAGATTGGATTTCTACTGCCTTATCTTAAACTCATGGATTATCTCCTATGTTATCTTTATTTTTCTGGTAAGCCCATCAGATAAATTTTTTATATCAAGTATTGTAATGATCTGTTTCAGCATTTATTATTTGATTCATATATAAATGTGTGTGTAAAAAAAATTCTCTGCTGGGATTTTCTGCTTTTTATTTGTTAGAGGTGTTAACGTTATTTTGTGTTATTGAGCACAGTTAACATAGGTGCTTTAAAGTCTCCAGTTCTAAAATCTTAGTCATCTTGTATTTGACCTGAATTGATAAGCTTTAATCTTGATAATGAGTCATATTGTTACAACTTTTTGCATGTGAGTGACTTTGGATTGTATCCTGGGTGTTTTGAGTGTTATCTTGTCAAAACACTGGATTCTATTCTCTTTCTTGAGTAATGTTGGTAATTTTGGATCCAAGACCTCAGACTTGTTGGGTGGCATACAGATCTCAGTTCTGTTCTTTCCTTAGTTTGACTTTTGTGTTTGTTTTTGGCATACATGGTCCTCGGGTTACCAGAGATTTGGGGGCATTTTTGTACAAACTTGGAGGCTCCTCGTCTCCGGCTGTCTTTCCTCATATCCCTCCCTCACATTTCCTCACTGTGCTTGCCTCAGACTCTGCCATTCAGGTTAAAAACTCTAACATCAGTAAATGTGCCCAGGCTGTTCCCTTCTTCCGAGCTTTGACTCCCTTTCAGAATCCGCTTGTTTTGGTTATTCTCCAGAGGCGT